TAAAAAAGTGCCAGTTTGAAATTGAAAATAACTACCCATATTTGCATACAGTCTCACCTACAACATAATCTGCTTTGTATACTACCTCACCTGTTTTGTATACAACCTCATCTACTATATACAACCTCACCTGCTTTGTATACTACCTCATCTGCCTTGTATACAACCTCATCTACTTTATATACAACCTCACCTGCTTTGTATACAACCTCACCTGCCTTGTATACAACCTCACCTACTTTGTATACAACATCACCTGCTTTGTATGCAACCAACCTGCTTTATATACAACTCACCTGCTTTGTATACAACCTCACCTGCTTTGTATACAACCTCACCTGCTTTGCATATAAACTAACCTGTTTTGTAAACAACCTCACCTGCCTTGTATACAACCTCACCTACTTTGTATACAACATCACCTACGTTGTATACATCCTCACCTGCTTTGTATACAACCTTATCTGCTTTGTATACAACCTCACCTGCTTTGCATATAAACTAACCTGCTTTGTAAACAACCTCACCTGCCTTGTATACAACCTCACCTACTTTGTATACAACATCACCTACGTTGTATACATCCTCACCTGCTTTGTATACAACCTAATCTGCTTTGTATACAACCTCACCTGCTTTGGATATAAACTAACCTGCTTTGTAAACAACCTCACCTGCTTTGTATATAACCTAAACTGCTTTGTATACAACCTCACCTGCCTTGTATACAACCTCATCTACTTTATATACAACCTCACCTGCTTTGTATACAACCTCACCTGCCTTGTTTACAACCTCACCTACTTTGTATACAACATCACCTGCTTTGTATGCAACCAACCTGCTTTATATACAACCTCACCTGCTTTTGCATATAAACTAACCTGCTTTATAAACAACCTCACCTGCCTTGTATACAACCTCACCTACTTTGTATACAACATCACCTACGTTGTATACATCCTCATCACTTGTTTTGTATACAACCTCACCTACTTTGAATACAACATCACCTGCTTTGAATACAACCTCACCTACGTTGTATACAACCCACCTGCTTTATATACAACCTCACCTGCTTTGTATACAACCTCACCTGCTTTGTATACAACCTTACCTGCTTTGTATACAACCTTACCTGCTTTGTATACAAGACCCGTGAAGATTCCGGGGTAGAATAGGTCTTCAACAACCCATGCTTGCCGTAAAAGGTGACTATGCTTGTCGTAAAAGGCGACTTACGGGATCGGGTGGATCAGTTCTGCCTTGTAGTTTCAAAATGAATGACGTCTCGCGATTTTTTATGAATGAAAAAAGTAGTCCCAGTGTGACAGAGGTCACGGTTATCAAATCAAAACGGATAAAACAAGGTCAACCTTGTACGACACACGTGTGACGTACGGATTTAGTTTCTTACCACCTTATCTTCACCACGTGGGTAATAAATGACTCTACTTGCTCACCAAAATCCACGGAGTTTTTTTTTTTGCGTCGTCTAACTGTGTGTACATAGACTGCCACTCCACGCGACCTGGTAGGTCACATATCCCTGTGTTGACCCAGATGTCTAGACTCAGTATAATGTCGGACTATATTATCAGAGATGCCCGAGTTGAAGATTGTAGCGAGATATTCCTAATGTTAAAGGTGAGATTTTTAAGGTGATTGACCGAATGGCGGGTTTCGGAATTGAATTGAATAAAACAAGTGGTGACAACTGTGATTGTACCTCGTTTGCATCGAGACATTAAATTGTCAGTGCGGATCACCTTGTTATCTACCTACCTGACAACACACACAAGGTAACTCAATGCGGCTTGGGTTCTCGCCTGCCATGAATCTCTGCGCTCTGTATCACCTACCTCATGGGGTAGACACATATCCACGACAGGTGCACTAAATTCTATTTGCACTCCCCGAGATGTTAATTATTTGTGCGCCTCAAAGGGAGTGAGTGAGTGAGTGAGTGAGTGTAGGATACTAGGGACACGTGAATATTACATGGGGCACATGTAGGTTGCAGGGGACACGTGTAGGTTACCTGGGACACGTGAATACTACAGGGGACACCTGTAGGTTACTGGGGACACGTGAATATTACAGGGGGTACATGTAGGTTGCAGGGGACACGTGTAGGTTACTGGGGACACGTGTAGGTTGCAGGGGACACGTGCATATTACAGGGGACACGTGTAGGTTGCAGGGGACACGTGTAGGTTACTGGGGACACGTGTAGGTTGCAGGGGACAGGTGTAGGTTACTGGGGACACATGTAGGTTACTAGGAACACGTGAATATTACAGGGGGCACATAAAGATTACTGGGGACACGTGTAGGTTACTAGGGGCACGTGTAGGCTACTAGGGACACGTGTGGGTTTCAGGGGACACGCGTAGGTTATTCGGGACACGTGAATATTACAGGGGGCACATGTAGGTTACTGGGGACACGTGAATATTATAGGGGACAGATGTAGGTTACTGGGGACACGTGAATATTACAGGGGGCACATGTAGGTCACTGGGGACACGTGAATATTATAGGGGACAGATGTAGGTTACAAGGGACACGTGAATAGTATGGCGGCACATGTAGGGTACGGGGGACACGTGTAGGTTGCAGGGGATACGTGTAGGTTACTGGGGACACGTGAATATTATAGCGGCACAAGTAGGTTACTGGGGACACGTGTAGGTTACCTGGGACACGTGAGTACTACAGGGGGCACATGTAGGTTACTGGGGGCACGTGAATATTATGGCGGCAATGTAGGCTACGGGGGACACGTGTAGGTTGCAGGGGATACGTGTAGGTTACTAGGGATACGTGAATATTATAGCGGGCACATGTAGGTTACTGGGGATACGTGTAGGTTATTGGGGACACGTGAATATTACAGGGGGCACATATAGGTTACTGGGGAAACGTGTAGGTTACGGGGGACACGTGTAGATTACTAGGGACACGTGAATATTACAGTGGGCATATGTATGTTGCAGGGGACACGTGTAGATTACTAGGGACACGTTAATACTACAGGGGGCATATGTAGGTTACAGGGGACACGTGTAGGTTCCAGGAGACACGTGTAGGTTGCTGGGGACACGGGTAGGTTACTGGGGACACGTGTAGGTTACTAGGGACACGGGAATATTACTGGGGGCACATGTAGGTTACTGGGGGCACATGCAGGCTACTGGGGGCATGTGTATGTTACTAGGAACACGTGAATATTACAGGGGGCACATAAAGGTTACTGGGGGCACATGCAGGTTACTGGGGACACATGTAGGTTGCAGGAGACAGGTGTAGGTTACTGGGGACACGTGTATGTTACTAGGAACACGTGAATATTACAGGGGGCACATAAAGGTTACTGGGGACACATGTAGGTTACTGGAGACAAGTGTAGGTTACTTGGAACACGTGAATATTACAGGGGGCACATGTTTGTTGCAGGGGACACGTGTAGGTTACTAGGGACACGTGTAGGTTACTGGGAACACGTGTAGGTTACTAGGGACACGTGAATACTACAGGGAACACATGTGGGTTACGTGGGACACGTGAATATTACAGGGGCCATGTGTAGGTTACTAGGGACACGTGTAGGTTACAAGATGCACGTGTAGGCTACCGGGGACACGTGCATGTTACTGGGAACACGTGTAGGTTACTGGGGACACGTGTTTGTTACTAGGGACACGTGTATGTTACTGCATGGAGACATATGTAGGTTACTGGAGGCGCGTGGAGGTTACAGGGGACACATGTTTGTTGCAGGGGACACGTGTAGGTTACTAGGGACACGTGTAGGTTACTGGGAACACGTGTAGGTTACTAGGGACACGTGAATACTACAGGGAACACATGTGGGTTACGTGGGACACGTGAATATTACAGGGGCCATGTGTAGGTTACTAGGGACACGTGTAGGTTACAAGATGCACGTGTAGGCTACCGGGGACACGTGCATGTTACTGGGAACACGTGTAGGTTACTGGGGACACGTGTTTGTTACTAGGGACACGTGTATGTTACTGCATGGAGACATATGTAGGTTACTGGAGGCGCGTGGAGGTTACAGGGGACACATGTTTGTTGCAGGGGACACGTGTAGGTTACTAGGGACACGTGAATACTACAGGGAACACATGTGGGTTACTGGGGACACGTGAATATTACAGGAACCATGTGTAGGTTACTAGGGACACGTGTAGGTTACAAGGTGCACGTGTAGGCTACCGGGGACACGTGTTTGTTACTAGGCACACGTGTATGTTACTGCATGGAGACACATTTAGGTTACTTGGGGCGCGTGAAGGTTACAGGGGACACGTATAGGTTACTTGGGACAAGTGCATGTTGCTAGGGGCGGGGTGTGAAGTGCACCAATGTGACGTTCACCTCATCCTTGGTTATTCAGGGTACTATGTCTCCAGCCCGGTCTGGTATTCGGTTAGGAAGTGACGTCACCCTCTCGATCTTTTTGCTCAATATGCCGAGAAGATATTTTGATTGTTTGGCTATTCCGTGTCATTCGATTTGGGGTTAAATGAAGCAGTTTTAGCTGCCAGGTTTAGGGAATGTTCAAGAAAGGACATTTTGCATCCTAGCATTGAGATAACTCGGGGTAACATAGGCTGATTTTACCATGTGTGCTTAGTTCCTCGCACTCATTTTACCTGCTATACCGTTGAAATCACATTATGATATACGAATACTACACAACTGTAGGATATACATGGACACAACTGTAGGATATACATGGACACAACTGTAGGATATACATGGACACAACTGTAGGATATACATGGACACAACTGTAGGATATACATGGACACAACTGTAGGATATACATGGACAGAACTGTAGGATATACATTGGCACAACTGTAGGATATACATTGACACAACTGTAAGATATACATGGGCACAGCTGTAGGTCTGTACATTACTCTACTTGCTTACCAAAAGCCACGGAGTTGTTTTCGTTTTGCGGCGTCTAACTGTGTGTACATAGACTGCCACTCCACGCGACCTGGTAGGTCACTTATCCCTGTGTTGACCCAGATGTCTCGACTCAGTATAATGGCGGACTATATTATCAGAGATGCCCGAGTTGAAGATTGTGGCGAGATATTCCTAATGTTAAAGGTGAGATTTTTAAGGTGATTGACCGAATGGCGGGTTTCGGAATTGAATTGAATAGAACAAGTGGTGACAACTGTGATTGTACCTCGTTTGCATCGAGACATTAAATTGTCAGTGCGGATCACCTTGTTATCTACCTACCTGACAACACACACAAGGTAACTCAATGCGGCTTGGGATCTCGCCTGCCATGAATCTCTGCGATCTGTATCACCTACCTCATGGGGTAGACACATATCCACGACAGGTGCACTAAATTCTATTTGCGCTCCCCGAGATGTTAATTATATGTGCGCCTCAAAGGGAGTGAGTGAGTGAGTGAGTGAGTGAGTGAGTGAGTTGAGTTTAACGCCGATTTGAACAGTATTTCAGTTATATCACAGGGTGCCACCTTGCTGTGAGAGGAAAGTAATGCAGGTCGCAGACGTTTACCACTTTGGTGCAACCCAAGAGCACGGGTATGGTGCTGACAAACCTAGAAACATTGTCGGGGCGAACCGGGATTCGAACCCAAGGTCGTAGGTTGCCTGCGTATCCAAGGGACGCACAGAGAATTGCGGTGCCTTACACGACTTGGACACCCGTGCCCCTACTCAACGGAAAACACATTACCAGAGGTTCCTCATGGGAAGTATGTTACCACACAATTACAGCACATTGGAACACTTGACGAACGACGGCATACTGAAAACAGGATAACAGTGGACACGTCCTCAATATGACGATTTTATAATGAATATGGTTTAATGTCAAAGACACAAATTCCTCGTGTGTCTGCCGTTAGCGTCAAGAACTACCCTTGTATGAACTGAGAATCACAAGTGGCCTGTAGTTTATGTGGAGCTGTTGCAGTGGGTGTGGTTCAGGATGACCCTGTCGCACCGGTGATCAAACTCGTTTCATGGGTGCCCTGTCGGTTAAAATAATCCAGCAATACAGAGACGGGGTGAGCTGCTGTTGTAACGTGCTGTGTGGGGGCTGGCATTGTGTTGAAAGATGACGCTAGCATGGTTCATAACGGGAATGTGCACTACAAACACGAATATGGTCATTGAACGAAAAAAACGACGTTTTTGGAGGCTTTCTCACTTTCGCTTTCTCGTTTTCCCTACAAATAACGTCGTTATTTGACATCGGAAATTACTGCGGGACAATGATGTTATCAAGCTCGTCATCCCATTTCTTGACATTGTCAATCAAGCAACAGCGTCTACCGGCGTGTCTATTTCTCTGATTTCATTGGTCAGTTCTCGCGCGTTAGATTACAAGACTAAGCGCTGAGCGGAAGTGCTGAATTCAACCGCTCTACGCATGCGGATTGTTTAATACCTTGTCCATGCCTTTCTGTGCATGCGCGAGTTCGCGAATCGTTTACTAGACTAAGTGTCCTCACCACTAGATAGTGAGTCATAAACACATGCTCATGATCTGGTTGGAATCGTACATTGAATCTGCTTTTGGAATTTCTTTTGTCACTTTTATTTACAGCACTTACGTGATCTAACACGTAGCAACTGCTGTAAGCTATCACGCGCATTTCTCATTAACTGACAGTATGATAACAATGAGAATATTTGTCAATATAATTAGGAAAGCGCAATGCTCAGGAACGCCTAAAGTGTAGGAAATAGATTATCACTAATATCAAACTGGAAATGAAAAAATTGCAAGCTTTCACAACTCATCTTTGTGAAAGGTGACCTTGGTATATATTGCCAGATAAAATATACAGACATGGGTTTCTCATTTTGTTTGGAATTGAGGTATGTCTATTTATAATTTTCAGGTTCTTCCACCCTCTAATTGTCATGTCACCTGAGTACATTCATCCAGGATTCCCCTATTTCATTGGAACATGACACTTACCGTCAACTTTATTTTGTGATCTGCGTAATATTATAATGTAGTAGACTATGTTTTGGTATTGGAAACATATTACTTGTCACATTCCGAACTGATGGCGCCTACTCCATGGATATCAAGGCTGCCACCTAAACCCATACAGACAGGCAGCCCAAGGATTATTGTATGCAAGATAGTCATTTGGTAGTCTACCAGAATGCTACATTGTATTCCGAACAACGGTATTTTTTTAATTTACTTTCAATGAAAAAAGACTTAAAAGCAGAACTGTTGGATTTATTTATTAAATGTTTCCCTTACATATTAACAACTGATATGTTCTGCTAAGTCGTATTTATGTCACGTAATATATGTCAGATATACATTAACACCTGTTACCGTTCTAAAGCCATCCTCTCATATTACCTGCATATTTTCTGTTGTATCAAATTTTAATCAACAATATCAAGAGCAGCAATTTAAACTGATGAAACACAAGGCTGTTGTCATGCAACTTGTGACGGATCGTAAAAACATATACATATACAAAATACATGTATGTGTATATCGTCTCTGGTAAAATCGATGACTTCAGAAACACATTTTCATGCAGATATATTTAGTAAAGATATAGAGGATATTTCATATGTCGAGTGAAATATCATGTTTCTCTCATCGAGTGACGTCACGGGATGAGAGAAACATGATATTTCACTCGACATATGGAATATCCTATTTATTATATACTTTTCGCGTAAATGTCTAGGGGAAATTAAATTATTTCATTAAAACTGTAAAACCTTGAAACGTAGGTTTTAACTACCTAACACACAGGGGCGGTTCACCAGCCTTGTGTTTGCGACCTTAAAAGTAGTTTCGTGTCTGCAAAATTTTACACAATAAAAACAAAAGTATAAAAAAAATATTAGGGTCACGAAAATTCTTAATCACACCTTTAGATATGATTATATACAAAATCAACTTAAACAAAAAATATTCTTGAAACTAGGAGACCGGTGTTGAAAGCGAAAGAATGCACGCTGGTTGTAATGGTCAAAATGTTTAATTCTATATTTTATCAATTATGATAGCTTAATTGGTTAAGGAGGTATCAAATCTGGTTTCTAGAATTTCCACAAATTATGTATTACATATAACAACAGCAATATACAATATTAAATAATTGTTATGGTTAGGATGTTTATTTAATTTCCTGGGTTGGAATGTTATGTTTCATTTTTTGGTCATGTGCCAATTTTACATCAACCTTATTAAGAAGGGAGATAAGCACAGATTGGTATGGTCATGTCACCATGTGCTTTAAGAAGCATGCATGAGGAAGTCATGCTAGGAACCAGTGAAGTCTACAGTAATGGTAAGGCACATTTAGTCACTCATTTGAAAATTCATTAATAGGAATTTAGAAATGCATCTTCTTAGTTTCTACCATACACAGTATCTTAATTTTTCATAATTGAGGGTTTGTGGCTGGTTTAAACTTGGCTCATGGAAATACACCCTAGACTTCAACTTTGTTCATAAATATTCTCATGGCCTAAAGTTATGAAAGGTATATGAAATTGTAAGCTTCCTGTTTATTTATTGCAGTTAAGGCATTGTTTCTGTACATTTATTGGACTATTATGTACTTAGTGCAATTTCCAGGTTTGTGTTGTACACCTTATTGTTAAATGTTCATGCCTTTGTAAATTAAACAAGCCCAACTTAGTATAATACTGCTGTATTATGAAGTTAATGTGTAAATTAATCAAATTGAAAAGCCATATACTCAATGAAATCCTTTCTATTTGTTACAGTTAATCTAATGTTTGTACATGAGAGTTGAGACACAAGAATAAGAAAGAATAAAGAATCAAGATTGTTTGGAACTTCATGTTGTAATCAACACTGGTTAAGTAACAGAAATTGCGAAACGAACAGTCTCGATTGACGAGTTAAATGATAAATTTACAAATTTATGTTTGATAAAGAAACATTTTCGAGGCAATACCAAATGGCAAGAAGTGATATTAACTCCGTAAATGACCATTGTTTTGCTTTGTCAATGTGGAACTAAGGTAAAAAGGACGGCAACAGTTTAGTGTACGGGCTAGACACTTACGATAAAGGGAGACAGTTTAAGGGTCGGTAACTCTTGTATGACAATAGTGTTATATTCACTGCAGTGAAATATCAAGTGTGATGTTCACTGCAATGAAAATATCACTGTTCTCAACTTCAGAAAACTGTCTTTCACACTGAGGTATATGTAAAAACGTTTAGTCTGTGGTTGATAATATCACTGATACAAATGTCATGCATTTGATTGTTTATACTGAGGACAAGAACATATGTTCAATATCAATTTACTTTTGCTTTTAAGAAATAACATTTATGCACAATTATTAGTAACATTCATCAGTTATGCTCGTATCCTTATAACCTTGTTTTCACATATACATATAGCATATGTTAAGTCGAGTAAACCCCCAGACGGTTGAGGAAACGGCGTACATACAGCTTTATTTGTTGGAACGGTTCGCTAGAAAGGAGGCAGAAGAGATAGCGTTCATAAGATACACACTCATAATATGAATTGTTCTGAGTTCTGTCAGAAGCTGTTCGTAAGATTTGTTGTACATGTACTACATTTTATCAACCGATTAAGTGGATTCGTTAAATTTCAACACATCTACAATCTATCTGTTAACTGGATTAATCAGAAAGAATAAGCATGAGTATATTTAAAGACACACAATCTACCAAGTCGCCCATTGAGAACACCCGATCCTCATTAAATCTCCTCTGTGGATATTCCTGGTGACCAAAAGGCCCCATGTTCCTGGGAATCGCGTTATATATTTGCTAGCTTAAGAGAATCACAGTTAATATGCTTATTCACCTCCAATTAAAGTCCCGCTCGACTAATTGATGTTTCTTTATGATATATCCATCAATCTCACGCTCTCTGTCTCTGTCTGTTTCTGTCTCACACACACACAGACACAGACAGACAGACAGACACACACACACACACACACACACACACACACATCTCAGCAGGAGATTATCATTAACGATCACTGCCCATGAGTGTAATTAATACATTGGAACGCCCTGCTGCATTTCTCCTGGTAGCGGTGAAAGTGCCCCACACATGTTTGAATGCTGAATTCCCTTCACTTCCCCACAAGCGCATATGCTGACATTACACTGATGTATTTCGGGTATTAGTCAGTGGAACGAACAGAAGATCTCCTACACCGACATTATCAAGGGCATTATTCAATTGATCTAATACTCTTTGAATAATTACAGGAACTCCATGAACATCTCAAGGTCCTGGACCACATGACGCTGGAAGAGGAGGGTGAGTTCCTATAGCAACTCCTAAGTGCAACTCTCATTGGGCGTGCTTGCTCAAACATCTGTCACCCATATTGTCCAGCATTTTGCTTACACACTCTTAGCAACTCACCCTAGTCAGATTTAACATGAGACATGTTTTTTGTGGGTGTTGTAGGGAACACAAGCCATCATTCACATTTTAAAACAAAAACTCTTACAAGCAGCCATACACACACACACACACACACACACACACACACACACACACACACACTCTCTCTCTCTCTTCGATTTCAAAAGACACTCGGGTGAGATTCTATATATAGAGATAGCTAATGGAAATTTAGCAAACTCAACCGATACTGTAAACTTGACAAACAAGGAACTTTTCGAGGTTGATGTTAACATCAAATTTAAACATAGTCTGCTGGCTTGGAAAAGGATGATATGGACGAACGCCTAAAGTATTTTTTGTATAAATTTTATGATATTTAAAACATTTTTATTGGTTTAATATCACTTATGTCTAGAGGTTCCTTTTCAGCTCTGAAGAACGATGGCTTCGGTGAAGACAAATTCTTTCAATGTATCGTGGCCGAAGAGAAACCGTCGGGAGAAGGTGAGAAAGAGTTTATTTTCATATTTAGCTGAGATTTTTCTTTATTGCACATTTCAAACTATGGTAAGAATGTTAACAGGTTCTCACTCTTCACTAAAACATAACTGTACAAATATGGGTGATTGTAAAACAGAACAATGGAAACAGGAGTATAATAAAGCATTTTTTCAAATAAAAGACATTTTTTTACAAAACCCCAATGTGAAGTTTATTTAAAATTGACAGAAAACTAGTCGTCTGTTTGTACTCAAAACTACTGGAGGAATATACTTTTCAATTATTAAGATTCTGAATGAAGGTACATACATAACTTGACATGGAAACGTACGAACTTGGTGGGGCGGTTGCCTTGGCCGATAGGCCACGTCTAGACGTACAATCCGTGTCAGTCCCACGTACATGTACATACATAAGACCCGACAACATCAGGACATTTTTATTTACATTTATATAGAGTGGTGGGAATTAAAGATCCCGCCCGGAGTGGGTTTGTGATTAGAGGGTATACGCTGAATGTATACATTAAGGAGATAAAAATGTCTGTACACTTTGGAATTAGGTAGTTTGGATAAATAAAATTTATAAGACCTATTTAAGTGGTTTGCACTATAACAATATCCCAGAACGTTGTGGAGCATTTTTAAATTAATGACAATGTTGAACGTACAAGTATACATTACACCTGTGTCGGTCACACGAGATACTGAGTTCAGCGTAACCTTTTGGCCTTATTTGACATGACAATGAACAGTTATCAATGACTTTGTACAACGACTACATGTGACTATCGAGCTCCACAATTTCATATTTGTTTAAATGTATCGACTTTGTTAGGTAAAAAAAAATTACTAAAGATCTACCTGTTCGTTTCTTTTTTAAGAGTGTATGCAGATGACATTATCATAGTTTCTAAAACGTTTCAAAACATTTGAATCACCACAAGACAGTATCCTTAAATGCCAAAGAAGAAGGACTCACTCTAAAACCAAGCAAATGTATATTTGTGTTAAAACAAAGGTTACCTACTTAGGGCATATCTTCGGCATATCTTCAGCAATCTATATGTCAATCCTTCAAAAATACATTTACTAACACAGATTCCACTCCCTAACAATGTCCATGACGGGGGTCATTTCTTAGGTATGGCCTCGTATTATCGCAAATTTTGTAGCAAGCTTTTCTGGCATCTGGCAACCTTCTGAAAAAAAGGCAAGCCTTTTAAATGGTCCAATAATTGTCAACAGGGATGCAAAAAGGCAACAGCCTTGCAACAGCCCCCACTCTTGCAGACACCACAACAAACCCTTTATCCGCATGATGCATCTCAAACTACAACATGGTTCATGTTGTGCCAACTTGATTCGCATGACATAACTTCTAATGATGTTGAAAATACATGTAAATTCAAAATCCTTGACATCGGACCTGTTTTGATTTTGGGGACAAACAATCTTGTTTGGCGAGTTTTCTTTTCCTCGGCAGTTCAGGTATATATATATTTATAGATATAAATATATATAAATTTGATTCGCTGTGCACAGTTGCGTCCCTTGGCATGGGCACGCCAGAAACCTATGATTGTGGGTTCGAACCCCGGTTCGCCGCGATTATGTTTCTAGGTTTGTCAGCACCATACCCGTGCTCGTGGGTTTCACCGAAGTGGTAAACGTCTGAGACCTGCATCACTTCGGGCTTCCTCCCACATTAAGCTGACACGCCGTGATGTAACTGAAATACTGTTAAATGCGGCGTTAAACCCAACTCACTCACTCACTATATTTCAGTGTTTACAAGGTCACCGTTTGAAAAGGTGTAATGTTGGATTACACCCTTTCCATGTAATGATCTGAATCTAGCCTCAGTATTCCTAGGTTGGTATTCATAGATTTTCGATGCGTCTGTTTACACACACACATTTGACTGGAACTTACCATCTTATAGTTTCAATTGTTTTAAGGTTAATGTGACTATACTATGATGGAGACAATGTTCAGAGGAATGAGAAATAGTAATGAAACTCATATCATGCAAGTGTTGGGTTGTATGTTCTATAGAGATTACTACACGAGTGTCTGTCAGATACCATTGATCTTACAACGAGTTGTTTCACAACGTATCTAACGAGCGAAAGTGAGTTAGATACGCTTTGTAACAACGAGTTGTAACACACGAGTGCAGTAATCTGTTTCTTACACACCCTAAAATCGCACCTTTTTAGCATCGAACCGATGAATTTTGTCTATTCTCATGATTGCAGTAGCGTATTAATACATATAACACCACTGTCATAAGTGACGTCATCCTATGTGCTGCTTATAATTACTACTCATAAATAATGTGACCCTACATAAAAAGGTTTCCGTCCTATCTGTGGATTATCAAGGCAATGATGAAAATGCAAACTAGACAAAAACCAAGAACACGCTGGGTGCCAAGTTGAAAGTTTACATCTCAAAGAAATTACCAAATATGTACAACAATGTTTACTTCCTTGTGACATCACTACCGGTCACCGACTTTTACAAAATGGCGTGTTCACTGACAACAGTACTCGGGATTTCCAGAGGAGGTTTTCGTTGATTAAGTGATCGTATACACATAAATGTGTCACGTAAGTAATCAGAAATATTTTGACAATCTGCGTACTGTTATTTGTTTACCATGTTTTCCAATGTAACAAAGAGAATTAGTCAGAAATGCAGATAACTAGTACCGTCATCGTTGTGCGTGATTTAGCGTCAGTCATGGCGTCACACAGGACGGAAACTTTTACGGCTTCTGTTGAATTTACCACATCATTGTAATGTATATATGTGTTATTCCATAATTAGTGCAACGATACTCTTCCCATGAATATTCTCAAACGCGTGATCGAGCCAATGTATGCAACAATTAGACGAAAGTACCTCGTTAATGCTACAGTGTAAAATCTGAATTTTGCTTTGTTTAAATTTCAGCAAGTACAATTTTCCGAGCACAGTTTTCGTTTCCATACCTAATTTATTTCGCATGATTTCATCTAGATAATTTGCATTGGTGACAAAGACCATTCATCCATTGTTTCGAATTTGATGAGGAATTCAGGGATACATGTATAGCAGCTGAGTTTGAAATATACCTGATCGAATATAGGCCTCTCGTAACCGGCATTTTGTAAACACAATCCAATATGTCGGAACGTACACTTCGGCGTTCGTTTGTGCATATTTCCAAAACATTCTAAACGACTCTAGGCTGATCAACGACAGTTCAGAATTATCATTAGTGATTTGATACCCGTGATCGCTAATATGCTATTTTTCTACTTTAATTATTCGAGTAAATATCCGATATTTAGATTTCTAAACACACAGTAAATATTTATATTTATATTTATAACGCCGTGAGTTGTAGTTTGGCGAGATTTATAATGTACCTAACTTTCAGTCAATTTCAGTAATTTTGAAATGCCTCAAATGACAGTAAATGATAAACAGAAGGGGGAATTCAAAACTGTGAAGTGTCTGCGTGATGTATTTTGAATTTTATTCGATTTCGAAGTGAGGGTTAAGAGGAGGGTCATATGTGTTGCTGTGGCAACCAGGGGGTTTACACTTTGAAAAAACGATAATGTTGACATAACAACAGATAATGTAACTGATAATAAAAACAAACAAACTCGCAGAGGTCGAGTTTGTTTATTTTTATTATTAATTACATGGTCCTGTTGTTCAATACAGACGTGGGTGAACATTCGACTGAAGCACGAGCAACTTATGAATGACTAACATTTAGGAAAGTAGTCCGTCATCATCTGACCCCAGGTCATCACCATGGAGTAGCCAATCACGGGCCTTGAATTCGATCTCACACATATGTTTGATACCCGTTATCTCAAATGGGTTTCTCACCCACAGGTGTGTAAGAATAAAGTTTATGCAACATAATATGTAGCTGGTTCAGCAAATCAAGTTTCGTTATCTATCTTTGAAGAAAGGTGAGCTTCCGTACCTTTGGTTCTCTAGTTTACAATATGTTCACAGTAAATATGATTGCTGATATCAAGCAGTGTTAACTTAAGTTGTTTTAAGGCTGCACAGAGTAAAACCCTTGAGATTTAATATCAATCTGAAGTTTGACGTGGTATCAAAGTCTACCTGAAATGGCCATAAGTAAATGAACTAAGCACACTATTCCCAGAGCATATGCATGGTCACAACGAAAGTGTGACAGGGACTTATCACTGTCCCAATATTAGTCTAGCTGAACTGCTTTTGCCATGACATTGACTCTGATTATATAACCCCGACACGCACCTAGACTTCAAAGCAGGACTTTGTCCACACATGCTACTTGAAGACGCGCGTAAAAACACTTGCTGACCGTGCTGGGACATTTACCTTCGGCCCAATAGCACCTGGATCTCAGGGGCGGTCGGGTAGCCTAGTGGTTAAAGCGTTCGCTCGTCACGTCGAAAACCCGGGTTCGATTCTCGTGTAACCCGTCAACCTGTTTACAGATATATGCATACCACTCATCTGTGGGGATCTTTCAACGAGAAATATATCTTTAGATGTTATGTTATTACTCAAAACAATGCCTTCTTGTCCGAAATCGACATCTTATTCAAAACATGTTTAAAGCGGCGTTATTTGTTTTCTCACCGACGTTCACGTGAGCCCAACTTATTGTATTGTGCAACTTGAGCCTTGACTATTTCGGCCTTGATAAACATTAGGTATCCGTGGTATCTCACGTCGTTGGGGGGCGCTAGGGTAGCCTACTGCTTAAAGAGTCACGTTTAAGACCTGGGTTCTATTCCCCACATGGGTTAATTGTGTGAAGTCCATTTCAGGTGCCCCATCCGCCCCCCCCCCCGTGATATTGCTGGACTATGCTCAATCAATCACGCCTTTGTATCACTTTCATATCACTGCATAATTGTTATACTTTGCCTGCTTTCAGATAAGCCAGCACTGGTAGGGTACTTGTTGTACTTCTGGGCGTACACCACCTCCGCAGGCCGAATGATGGTTGTACAGGATTTTTATGTTCGTCAAACCTACAGGACGCAAGGGACGGGCTCGGCACTGTGGGCCCATGCCACCAAGGTAACAGTAGTGAGTGAGTGAGTATGGTTTTACGCCGCTTTTAGCAATATTCCAGCAATATCACGGCGGGGGACACCGGAAATGGGCTTCACACATTGTACCCATGTCGGGATTCGAACCCGGGTCTTCGGCGTGACGAGTGAACGCTTTAACCACTAGGCTACCCGACCGCCCCCCAAGGTAACAGTAATGGCAGACACCTTCAACTTCAACACCGTACTGCATCCGTGACGTGTTACACAATTATTGCGAGTAAATAATCAACGGTGACTGAAATGAACGCACACGCAGATACAAATTTTTATAAAATTATCCCAGCCGCAGATACTGACCCATCAAATAAGGAGGTGTCCATGGCTCTGTATTCTATGTACTGCGATTTGCAGAGTTGCGTTCTTTTGTCCATGGCCCTACGATCGTTTGGTTGAGTCCCAGATTCACCTTAATTATAAACGATCTTTGGTTTGTCAACAAACAAATAAACGTCGACAACATAATGACGTTAGGCTCAAGTAGATATCTTGGATGTATTCATGTATCAGCTCAAAAATCGCCTACGTAGTCAAAACGAATATCCCTGCATTGTGTTTTCTCAGCGATAAGCTGACACAAACGTCAACACTTTATTCCTAATGTACCTCCTAACATACAATGTCATGACATGGAAGGGGAAGGTCAACCGTAACATTTATCATTATAAGGTTGAACTTTCTCTTTGGTTAGTTGCATGGTCACTAGTGTTATCTCTTCAGTGATATCACATCGTGCCAGCTTATTGTTGAGGAAAGGAAAAAATGTGTACATAATGTACAAATGTTTAACACTTTCTATGATTAGTTAAACCCACTGACGTGAATAAGAATAATTCCAGGAAATAAAGCAGTCTGTTTCAGTGAGTTGTATATGGCTATTTCCCCCTTGGTATTTATTTGATTCGGGTTATTAAGGTCGCAGTGAAGCGGGGACATAGGATCTCTGGGCATCGTGCTTGACTTGTTAACATCATAATGTCTTCTTCATCCTTCAGGTTGCCCTAGAGAAGGGATGCAGGAAAGTAGAGTGGATAGTCCACGATTGGAACGTACAGGCAATAAAGTTCTACAAGAAGTTGGGAGGTGTGGATATGTCTAAGGGCGAAGGTTGGCTGGTGTACAGGCTTGATGTTAATGCCATGAGATCTGTAGTAGCCACAGACACAGTAAACAAACAGTAACGTGCAGACAGAACACCCCCTTCAGGAACTCCGTGTTCAGTCATGTGTGGAGTGACGAATGTTCCTTACACACATCGTTCACAGTGTGTTGAACAGGTTCATGTGTGGTATTACTCTTCGTATAGACGTGTTTGGGGAGCACATTAGACAGTACATCAGTAAGCGTAAAATTAATGCATTAATGATTTGTAAATATATGTAGAGGCTGGATATTTTGCCCCAGTTCTGAATACCCGGCTTTTTACAAATTGTAAAATAGGGGGCTCAAGGTACGGGTTCTATGGATTCCACAGCAACAGCTTTTAGCCAATCACCTGGGGCCATGTGGTCACATGACAAGGACATGTTTACATCCGGTGCAGCCATTTTGTAATGCAACCGGAAGAGTGCTGAAGAGTGCTGAGGATAGCCGAACATAACCAAAAAATAAGATGTGCATCCCAGTGCAGAGATCAAGAGTCGCCAGTGGGCGGGTTTGCCCCTAAATACTTTCAGATTGTACCAGGGTGCTTTGATTGAGCACATGGTTTAGAAACAAAGACAATGATACAGCCACGTTTGAAGTTGAAGTTGAAGTAAACAGCAACAACAATTTGGAAAAAGTGGAACTTTGAATTCAGCAAATGTACTTTCAAACCCAAAGTTTACTTTGCTGAAGTTGATGTAAAACAAGACAATAGATACATCCAATTATTCTTGCCATTGAGTGCACTTTTGGACAGACGCAGATGAGTGACATTTGTCAGTTTGGCACAGCAAGAATGGCTGACCACAGTGACCAAACACTTGTTAATGAAATCACAAGTCTTACTCATGCTAACGAAATACCTATGCATTGGAAGTACCTACAATTGCATACTATAGGCCTAGTTGCAGTCTGGGGGAACTGGTGCTCTTACCTAAAACAAAATCCACATGCAAGGATGGAGCTGTAATGCCCAGGCAGAGCATACAGAAATTGGCTGCTGAAACATTTAGAGGTTCCATGGTGGCCCTGGCCCATGTCATGTGACCATATACCCCCCATGCTATTGGCTAAAAGCTGTTGCTATGGAACCTATGAGAGCAGTAAAGTAGTCAAGATGCGGGATGGTCCAGTTACTCTGGACAGGGAACTGGGGCACAATATCCAGCCTTTACACTTAGAAGCAGAGTTCATTATACGACTAACCTACCTTCATACTGAGGATAGCAAACTACTATCAGTTCAATTCAATCCAATTCAATTCAATTTAGTGGTTTATTGCTTGAAAGTCAACTGACCCATTTACACATGAGCTACATGGACATGAATATCAATACAACAACTGACGTAACATGAATGTATGATGACTGTATAAAGATACTTGCTATTGAACGTTGTACTTTTTGTTTGACAACAGACATACATGTACAAAGAAAGAAGATATACATGACCATGACAGGGCAGATAAACATAAAATAAAATTCCTCTTTAAAACCAAGGTTACTGATAGGGCAAATTCATAGGGACTTTTCAATATTTAAATAGCTTCCTTTATTCATGCTTGGATCCCTCAGACCAATTTGTGTTATACCGAACTGGTGAAGCCTGTTGGAACACAGCTGACATGTAATAAGAGCCCTTATCTGACTGAATAGTCCTAGGCCAACCAACCATGGTGAAAAACTTTACCAAAGCCTTGATAAACCTCATTTGAACTGCCGCCTTTAGCTGACACAAAACCTCTACTAACAAATGGTAAGTTCTCCTCTCTCATAACAACAACTTTGATGACTGGTCTACGGCAACTAACTCCTCATTAACAGGACCACAGAAATGGTATGCCCTGGCTTGCGGCAATATCTATAAGTAGGCTCTGACGAGAATCCCGAAGTATTTTTAGAACAAACTGGAGTAGAAGTTGACTTCTTGTCAACAAACTCAGAACCAGACTTGTTAAAACTAAATCGTGAAGGGATGATTTATCAGGAACCAATTAATAAAATTGGTGAAAAGCACAGACAAAACAAGCCATCATCGCCACCCTCACCCGACGTGCCAAGTCCATTTGCCACCCGGATGCACTCAGCAGTGAACTGGACCATCTCAAGGAAATCTTCACCACCCTCAACAGCTGTCCTGCCAACCTAGTCTCCAAAACCATCCGCAAGACCCTCAAAAAACACCGACCCCGGGCCCAAGCACCATCTCCATCGCCCATCAGAATCACCATACCCTACCAAGGTAGATTTCCCGCCTCATCAAGAACAAAGCACACATAGATGTCACCTTCTCTAGCGGCAGGTCCATCAAGACCCATCTACAAGCCAATGGCAGAGGCACAAGCAGCATAAGTCCCAACCCCCGAGGATACATGTATATATACCAGATTCTCTGCAACTGTGGCCACAAGAACATTTGAGAAACCCTCAGACCCCTCAACACCAACCTCAAAGAACATCAGCCCTCTGTTAACAAACTCGACCTGAAATCCGCTATTTCCGAACACATCCTGAAGAACCAAGACAATAACATCATGCGGAAGCCACCAAAGTCCTGTCTACCAACAACAACTGGCGACAAAGAAAACTACAAGAAGCCATTGACATCAGGAGACAACAGCCAGCCATGAACCGTGACCAGGGAACCTATCTGCCTAGGGCCTGGGACTTATTGCTTTGAACTTTGTCGGTGCTAATTACCTAGCTGGCTTCCACTTGCCCATTGCTATGTCCATCCTTTCACCTATTAGAGCTAATTACCCCCGGCCTCCAGTTTGCCCATTGTCCATTGCCTATTACTTATCTATGATACTTAAGTTCTGGCTTCCATACTATCAGCGCTGATTACTATAAAGTGTTGACTTACAATGCCTATTGCTAATTACCTATCAGCGCCAATCATCTGTTGGCTTCCCTTGTTAGTTTCTATCCTTTGTTATTTTCCAGGTTTTGTTATCCTATTAATTTTGTTGTCCTTACATGTACATATATATATATACTCTCTGCCTCATGGCATTCTAAGTAAGTAAGTATGGCATTCATTCTCCCTTCATTCACATTCTCTTCCTTATGTGTATCACTTCTAAATGCCTTTCAAAGACCCAATTATTAAGGCTTCAAAACTTCATCCTTAACAACCTGATAATCTAAAATCCTATGAATGGATAAGGCAGAATAAACTTCCTTAGCATTTCCCCTAAACACACTTTGTAAGAACATGACAAATCTGTTACAAACTGTTAGCCACCTTTTCAAAATGTAAGACAAATTCCTCAACATAAAGTTCAGAGGAGGTCGGAACAAGTCTAGTCTGCTTGTAAAGATCAAGCGACCCATCACCTCTTGAGGTACGGCGAGAGAGATTATTCTGTAATACAAGTTGTTTTAGCTTAATTTCTTTTTCAGCTTACAAGCTCAATTTTTCATTATCAGCTTCAATTCTGAAGATTTCATTCTCAGTTTCATTTCCCAACTTTTATTTTTATTTCTTTTTTTTCTGCTTCCAATTCTCTAAGGCGAGTTTCTTTTTCCATAGCCAATTTTTCTCTTACCATTTCTAGTCTCTTTAAAGATAGAATATAATTTTTTTCTGCATTCAAAGCTATAGCATCTTCTGAGAAATTGTCTTCCTCAAACAGGTGTGTCTAAATATTTTTTTCTTGAAATTGGCCTTAACCCTACATGATTTAATGTCAAGCTTTAAACATTTGGCCAATTCGACCAGTTCAAACTTTTTGAGCACAGAGACTTTGTTCCGTAGAAGGTTGGATCAAATTTGGATTATTGTGGCAGAATCTCTGACACAGACAGTTCAACATATGGTCACTCAAACGCTGACCTCATACTCAGGTACTTTCTTGAAGCAAACGTAAATGTGATTTTGATATATATTCACCTCGATCCTTCTCCCATCCCCAACCTTCCAAAGTCAGGCACATATCATCTACAGCTGTAGACGCCACCCACAACGCCGCCAACACCCACACGTACACACACACATACGCACAGACACAGACATACACACTGACACACACAGACACACACACACAGAGACACACAGGAAGCCATACACATTGACACACATAGACACACATACGCACACAGACACAGGCACAGACATACACAGAGACACTCACAATTAAATAGAGCAGCATTAACAATACAATAATAAACATGTTTGAAAAATGTTGTCTGACGTTTAGAAATGATATGTATGTGAACGTCAGAAGGCTGCATTCTACGACTTTCCTGAAGTTTCCTTGAATCAATACATAAATATGTAAATTGACGCTAGTCCCAATTCTGAAGGCAACATTCAACCACTTTCCTGTAGTTTCCTTGAATCAATAGATAAATATGTATATTAACGTTAGTCCCAATTCTGAGGGCTGCATTCTACCACTTTCCTGTAGTTTCCTCGAATCAATACATAAATATTTAAATTAACGCCAGTCCCAGTTCTGAAGGCTACATTCAACCACTTTCCTGTAGTTTCCTTGAATCAATAGATAAATATGTATATTAACGTCAGTCCTTATTTTAAGGGCTGCATTCTACCACTTTCCTGTAGTTTCCTTGAATCAATACATAAATATGTAAATTAACGCCAGTCCCAATTCTGAAGGCTACATTCTACCACTTTCCTGTAGTTTCCTTGAATCAATACATAAATATGTGTATGAACGTCAGTCCCCAGCCTGAAATCTGCATTCTACCACTTTCCTGTAGTTTCCTTGAATTAAAAGATAAATATGTATATTAACGCCAGTCCCCAGTCTGAAATCTGCATTCAACCACTTTCCTGTAGTTTCCTTGAATCAATACATAAATATGTAAATTAACGCCAGTCCCAATTCTGAAGGCTACATTCTACCACTTTCCTGTAGTTTCCTTGAATCAATACATAAATATGTGTATGAACGTCAGTCCCTAGCCTGAAATCTGCATTCTACCACTTTCCTGTAGTTTCCTTGAATCAATACATAAATATGTATATTAACGCCAGTCCCCAGCCTGAAATCTGCATTCTACCACTTTCCTGTAGTTTCCTTGAATCAATGCATAAATATGTATATTAACGCCAGTCCCCAGCCTGAAATCTGCATCCTACCACTTTCCTGTAGTTTCCTTGAATCAAAAGATAAATATGTATATTAACGCCAGTCCCCAGCCTGAAATCTGCATCCTACCACTTTCCTGTAGTTTCCTTGAATCAATGCATAAATATGTATATTAACGCCAGTCCCCAGCCTGAAATCTGCATTCAGCCACTTTCCTGTAGTTTCCTTGAGTCAATAAATAAATATGTGTATGAACGTCAGTCCCCATGCTGAAGGCTGCATTCAACCACTTTCCTGTAGTTTCCTTGAATCAATACATCTATAGAGATTACTACACGAGTGTCTATCAGATACCATTGATTTTACAACGAGTTGTTTCAAAACGTATCTAACGAGCGAAAGCGAGTTAGATACGCTTTGTAACAACGAGTTGTAAGATCAATGGTATCTGACAGGCACGCGTACAGTAAACTGTTTCTTACACACCCTAAAATCGCACCTTTTTAGCATCGGATCGATGCATTTTGTATATTCTCATGAT